TGCAAAAATAAATAGCTTTTGGAAAAGCCTTGTTTCCTAAAGCTCATTGGCCGTTAAAACTAAAAGCCTTCGCTCTGTGAGTAGATTAGCATGGGTGAATATCTGTGCTTACAGATCAAATTGCTGGATTGAGGCCTGCTCAGGAAATTCAAAAGCAAAAGGTTCCTGTGGTATTGCTCATAGGTCTTACCATAGAGGCAGTTGAACATAGCAAATTACGTAACTTCTCATTTTTCTGAAGTGAATAATAGGAATACATTGTAGCCATACCATGCAGCCAAGTTAAGGCCAGAGTTGGAAAGCTCCCTCACTGCTTAGCCGTCTTTTAATTATTTTTACTCTTGAACCCTACCACTATCCCATAGCTTAGCTTTTGGGCTTCTGCGTGTTTAATTTGTAAAGCTCTTTGTTTCACTAAATGAAGAAAAAAAAGATTTCTCTTTGCGATAGCTCGTGGGCATCCATTACCCTATAGACAGCTGGTGCTGTTTAACAAGTGAGGCCAACAGCGTACGGTGCCGAATGTGCGCACATCCTCACGGACGCTTGTGGCTGCTTGTGCTCCAGATGGCACTTCCACATATACGTAACTTTGTGAACCGACTGGCAAATCAACTCTAATTTATTGCAAGTTTTAGACGGAATAGGATTGAAACTGTACAGACAAGGATTTCAAAGCTGAGCTGCTTTGGAGTTATTTGCCTCAACTTCACAGGGAAAAATCCATCGGGAAAGCAGGGGATGTAAAAGAGTGCTCTTGTTTGCGTTTGTCCTCTTTGATTTAAAGATGTAACTTGCTCTTTTAAATTTCCCTTGGGCTGGGAGCCACACTGTGCTCCCTTGAAGACGATCACAAAGTGAAATTCACTGGCAATGGGATTGGGCTCACAGCGTGGAAAATAGCAATTCAAAAGAACTCTTTTTGGAGATTTATGAGCATATGAAAAGAAGGAGTTACAATGAGTTGTATAGCTGCGTAGAAACTGTAATTACAGTGATCTGTGTGGTATTTATGGGTAACTACATTTCTCCACTGTCATGCAGGATGCAGCCATCCTTCTTGCCAGAATAGGGTCCCAAAATTTCCTTTTGGCCCTCCTTAGCATTGTTTTCCATCTAGTACTTGGCATCCTTCTGTCATTGGTGAGTAAGGGAAAGGCAAAGTGAGAGTGCCAGCCCTACTGGAAGCAAAGTGCTGGGTGTACAGTTACGCAGTTGTAGTGGTTGGAGCAGAGGAGGCATTCCCATCTCCCCTATAGCTGTTCACTTGCGCTGCTATTCGCCCTGGTGTTGGTTTTGCTGTTTGGGGCTGCGCTGTGAACTAGGTCACGGAAAGGATCCAAGACAAAAGCGTGGCGAGAGGGGAGAAAAGGGATTTTTTTGTTTTGTTTTCCAGCAGTGCTGTTTGCTTGCTGAGAATTGTGTTGACACAACCAAGAGTGGTGAACCATGGTGTGGAGGTGGAAGCTACTTACACCAGCTTTCTTGTCAATGCCGAAGTGCAGTGCAATTGTACTCTCGGGCCGAAGGAGCTTTCTTTCACACAAGGCCAGAAGCTCTGCAAACAGACCATGCCTTCAGTGGAGCCCTGTGAGCTGTAATGATCTTTTGTGAAGCTGTTTCAGTTAGCTAAATTGGGCTCTCAGTTCACACTTGTGAATGACAGGGCTGCTTCTTTATGCAGCACAGTTGTCCTTGCCCAGAGGGGTAGGGTAAGAATCATCAGTAATAGTGATTTAGTAGCAGAGGTGTTTAAAGACTGTGCTTAGTATAGCACAACCATATCCATGAAGGATACGCGTACAGCTTGTCTTCTCTAGCTTTGCTCAGGGTCTAGTGGTGGGCACTGTTGGGGCGGTGGCTAATCCAGGGTTGACTTCTGTCTATGCCATTGAAAGATCTCCGACCTGGCGATGTATTTTAGCATGTTAGTTGTTTTTGATCCCCTCCCTACCTCTTCCTCAGTAGTTCCAGAAGCTTTTCTGGGTAAGGCTGTTCCGCTTCCTGCTGTAAAGTAGACCAGAAGTTAGGTAACCTGCTTGGCTTGGCTATGAGGAGTGTGTGTTTGGACTGTGCTCCTCCCTCCTCGCTTTCTTCATCTCATCCTGCTCAGGCTGGGAGTGGTCTCTAGCTAGTAGCCCAGGCTGTCCTATGCTGGCCAAATCCAGGAAGCCTTGTTGATGATCAGCCTCGGTTGGGCACCAGGCAAAGCCACTGGTCTTCTGCTTTTTCCAGCTGAAGTTGGGCAGATACATTCCTGGCAGCCATGTAACTGCCTTGGCAGGAAGATCTATTTAGGCACTGGTGTGTCCTGCAGCTGGGGCAAGGACATGGTGCAGAGTCCCCGGGTTCTTCATACTGCTTTTGACAACAATCTAGGAGACTTAATGTTTTTTGGGGGCCGCCTTGTTGACTTTTCACAGAGCTGTGTCAAAGCCATCGCTCTTGTTTACACAGAAAACAAAAGTTGGCATGATCCAACCTGCCCGACGTTCCAGTATTGGTCTTCCCGTGAGTCTGCTTTCTCTGCCTGGTGCCCAGCGCTGCTTTGCTTCACCCACCGTCAGATGGGCACTACTCATTCATGGTTCCTGTCTAGGCAGCCTGTCCATTTCCACAGCAGGCTCTACCTGCTGAAATGCTCCCTGGTGTCTCCAGAGGAGTGTGACCCTGTGCTGCTGGGGGTGAGAGGGATCAGAAGAGAAGCTCTCTTCCCAGTCCCTGTCTCAGCTCTGATTGTCCTATCTGGGAGTTGGGGGAAATTCTTTTATGTGGTTAGAGGAGAGGCCAGGAGTCGGTACTTTCCTAAAAGCCTAGGAAAAATGCGTAACCCTTACTGATGTATGCTGGCAGCTCTCCTTGCTTTTCCTATTCCTGTAATGTGGTGGTATGTGTTTGTGAGGATAGTGGATGTTCTCAAAGGGACCTCAGTAACATCACAGACAGACAGTGGTTTAAGCCTTGTTATCACCTTTTGTACAACTGAGGGTGTTTCTGGTTTGTAATGCCTAATTATTGCAAGGTCTTGTGTAGCCATCTCCTCTGTTGGTATCACAGCGCTTTTTGAAGGTGGGGGGTGGTGCCCCCCCAGGTCTGTCAGAGAAGGACAGACACAGAGGAAGGATTTTTACATGGTTGCCTAGCAGGACAGAGGTAAAAATCAGCTTTAATGAGTTCCAGCTTATTGCTGGAGCCATAAGCTACAGGCTGTGTGCAAGTCCAGGGAGTTAATGCACGTTAACATCATGTGTCCCAGTCTGGGGGATTTTCATTCTTGTGATAGTAATGATGCCACTTTCCAAACCATGCCGTGCCTTGGCTTTGTGTTTCACTGCATATAAATCCATCCTCGTTCCTCTCCTCCCAAAACTAGGCCTTATGTTCCCATCCTTATTTGTCCTTCCCAGATTCTCTGCTGCCTTTAAGGAGCTTTCTTGAGGCACAGTATGCATTTAGAGCCTGGGAATTCCTGTACACAAAAGTTCCACCCCCACCTTCTCATTTCCAAGAGCCCTGGCAAGCCCAAGTGTTGCACAGATACCTGCAGCTCCTGATGCAGCTGGAACGCTTCTTTACTTCCTTGCAGATTGCACCACCAGCCAAGGAACCCTGTGGAGAAGAGGCTTTGTTTTTTGGCACAGCTTGTGTGTGGTAGAGCTCTCTGCTCGTTTACGAGCTCTTCTGGAGGTGTTAGTGGAGCAATCTTATGGCTGGAAAGAATAGTTGGCCAAGTATAGAGCCCGACTTCTGTTGTTGTCCCTCTGTGTTTGGGGAGGGAGAAGGCTGAAAGCACTGGTTGACTCTTTTATTGCTAACAGCTTTGAAAATTGCTGCGAGCAGAAAATAACAGAGGGATCTAATTTAATTTTAAAGCTGTCTTTTGCCCAGTGTAAAAGTACGGCATGGCTGTAGTCCTGTGTTGGCGGGAGGCATGTGAGAGTGCTCCTGTGTGCCAGATGCCGGGCTGTGCCAATGTACCTCTGTCCGTAGCTGCAACCCTTCCATCTGCACCTCTTCACCGTTTGCGTGCGTTTCCCCAAACCGGTGATTAATTCCCCCCTCCTTTCCTTTTTTCTTCTCACCTAATGCAGGATGTGGGTTTGGAAAGCGGGATGGTGTCTACCTTTCTTCCCCGCAGGGTTCAGGGTTTTTTGACATGCCACTGTTGGGAATTGTTCTGATGTCGCCTTGCTCCTGTTCCAAAAAACATGACCCTCTTCTGCCCTTTACGGATGGGACTTGAGCTTCTGTTCCAAATGGAAGTACGTTGTAAGAAATGTTGGCCGATATAAGCTAGATGTGATCTCTAATCAACTCTCCCCAGTGTTATTAGTATGTGTATATATAGAGACATTTTTTAATAAAATTCAATTCTTCAAGGCCAAAAATAGCTTCTGGAGGCAGAGGTTACAAAGAAAGGGAGGTGCTCATGGTGCCATTGATTGTATAGTAATTAATGCTTGTAAAATGGGCACACCTTGCAGTTGTGAAAACAAAGCAGGTTCAGACATGGTGGTCTGATCCTGTCCTGCACGTCTGCTAGGAAAGGCACCCTTGCCCCCTACCGCTTACCCCCAGAATGAGAACGTCAGCATTATACCCTGTATATAGGGGGATTTGGGCTGCGCATTATACAGGTGAAGAGATGGGAGTGTGGAAGTCGAGCCAGGTACTTTTTCTGGGGGTGAATTTCTGTATCCAGGCTGGTGAGCCTTCTCCAAGTCACTGTCTTTTCCAGGTGACTTACGCTGTTTCTTCTGGATTTTCAGATGAATGGGCTAGACTTTGCAAAACAGAGATATGTTATCAGTTTATTAAAAGCTCTACAAATGCATGAATTTCACTAGACCAGAAAGAGAGATATCGGCCAGGACAAGCTTGCGAATTCAGCACAGCGTGATGAGTGGTGACACGTGGCGAGGGTGAGGGAATTGCTGCGGCAGGAATGATATATTGCTTTGCTTAGAGTGCACTTCCATGCCCGTTTCTCTTTCCTTAGGTCGATTGTGAGGAGCCGAGCACCCTCCCTCCCCTCTGGATTCCTTGTAAGTGAAGCTCGCTTGCTCTCTGAGGACCAGACCTCACTGATGACTGGGAAGCAAAGAGTACCCAGGAAAGCACTTTTACCACGGACCCCACCTCAGGAGCACCAGGAACTTGTCTTCTAAGTAAAATCTGTGCCCCTTCTGTGCAGATCCAATGTCTGCTGCAATGGATACAGAATCGACATATTCGGGATACTCCCACTACTCAGGTCACTCCAAAAAAGCCCACAGACAAGGGTAAGGAAATGTTTATGTTTAATTACTTAGTGCTATAAGTTAGGATGTGTCCTGTGGAAAAAAATTGTAAGCCAGAATGAAATCAGTGGGGCCACGGCTCTGGAGGAGATACATGTAGAGAGTACTTGCGAGGAACCCACTGAGGAGACTGGAAGCAATAATGCTGCTAATTTAATAATATTCAACCTGTTGGATGCACACTGAGGTCATGTATGGCCAGAAAGATTGGGATAGTACCAGCAGAAGGAAAAGATCACTTAACTCTGGTCTTAAAGTGCAAGGAATGAGTAGAGTCTCTGGGGACAAGATGTGTCAGACTTCCTAAAGTGATAATTGTCAGTTGTTTTCTCTTCTCATGCCATTTCTTTATTGTGTAATAATAGGTTTCCTATCTCTCCCCACCATTCTCCTGGCTACTCAGTCTAGTATGTTGGGTTTTTTTAATAGAATTTGAGTGGTACTTGAGTCTACTACAAGTCCTTTATCAGCATTGATTGGATTAGAACTCAGGCTTTTCTGAACTTGAATAACAAGTCCTCTCTGTGGTAGTTCAGCAGCCTCAAAAACCATCTTGCTCTGAAACTTCTGATTACTTGGAAACATCGTCCTTTTTTTTTCTTTTTTTTTTTCCTGCATCATCATTAGTTTTACATGCAAAATGTGTGCCGCTTACAGTCTTTGGAACTTGGAACTAAGCTCGTTGAAAATAATTTTGCATTTCAGAAGCAACTATCCTGTGTGGTTAGAAAAAGAATTCTTCCATGAAATGAAGTGTCTTTGCTCGCAGTCCAATTATCGAGTAAAACATCTCGTTTGCCTTTTCTCCCTTCTTTAACACCCCCACCCCCAATATGGATTGCCTTTTTAACCTTAGATTGCCATATGGAAAGATGCCTTCAGATTTCCCAAAACAACATAAAAATCGTAGAGCCTCGTACTGTCAACAGGAAAAAGTCTCATCCCATTAAACCTTTGGGCTTTGGTAATTCCAAGAGAGCAGAGCTGGGACACTGGATGCTCCTGAGCTTTAAGCCAGTCCCTGAGCACAGTGAGGGTCTCTGGTGCAAAGGCTGTTTTCCTGTCCAGGTAGGAAGGGGGAGGAAAATGTTGGTGGGGCTTAATTCATCTTGAAACATTCTCATATGATAAGCCATTGAGGTCTACATGGGTACTCCAGAAGTAACCGCTAGGCTGGTACCCTTGATGTTGTTGCTCTCTTTGTCAGAGGTTAACTGGGGGTTGTTAACCAGTGGCAATAAACTTCACCAATTGTCCTACAGTATTAAGATCCTAATTCATGAGACACTACGTTGCAGGAACTAAAGCTGTCTTGATTAATTCCTTGTGTTAATAGTACATGTCCCTATGAGACACTTTTTTGCAGGTGGAAAGCTGTGTAGACCAGTTAATCCCTAATGGAGTTGCCAGTTGTTTGGAGAGTGCAAGTTTCCCTTTCAAGTGCAGCTCTGGCAGAAGTTGTTTTAAGAGAAGATGAGCTGGTGGGGATGTACCCCTGTACCCTTTGGTCCCTTCTCCAGTCACTGAGAGGGTAGACTGACCCAGCACCAGGCTGTAGGTTGCTCTGGGCAAGGTCTCTTTCCACCTCTTCCAAAGCGTGTTTTGTCACAGATTGAGTCAATATTGATCAAGAGATGGGCAAGCATGACTACGACCTAATGCTTAGGGCACCTGCTGCAGGTAGAGGTGTAGAGGATTCCAGGCCTTGCTCCAGAAACTATCTGGTAACGTTGTTCTCCTCTTGCTCTGTTTGGAAAAGGAGTCGGGACAGGCACAAATCGCCGCGAAGCAAAGATGGCAGTCGGTCTGAGAAGTCCGTCACTATCCAGACACCTCCTGCAGAGCCGCTGCTTGGGAACGATGCCTCTCGGGCAGAGGAGGGCCAGGTAAGGAGGGAGTGAAAGCAGATGTGGAATGTGGTTTCTGGAACAGAGCATATGACTTACCTGCACGTGAGCAAGAAAAAAAGTGTTGCTTGCCTGCTGTTAGTAAAGAATCACAACTTATGGGTACCCTTTATTCACGCATAAAGCCAAGGTCTCAATCAGTTTAGTCTTTTTCTGAGACCACTGTTTTTGACAGTACCAGCGCTGATGTGACTACTCCTGCGGCACTAATTTGGCTGCCAAGCTCTATAGAAACATCTGTTTCCATCATCTCACTGTACTTTTTTCAGGTCAGCCCTTTCACCTGTATGTGCACTTCTGGTTTTAAGCAGGATTTGTTCTAGGTAATCATGTAAAGCACATTAGGACCAGAAT